TACCCTACTTGGTCTGTACTAGGTTCGGTTCCGGACCAAGACAGTACTTTCAGTCTTCCGTTCGATCACAGAATCAGGTGAAAAAATTTGATGAACATGTTTTCAGATTTGAAATGGAAAACTAGAAAATGAAAACATAAAATGGGAGAACGGAATACAGAAAAGAAAACCGGAAAAATGATTCTAGAAGTATAAAAATCATTATACATTACAACATGTTGGGGTAAATATTGTTAAATAAAATTGTAGAAACCAATGTAACATGAAGATGAATTATTATTTAGATACATCATACATGAGTTAAAATTTCTAATGTGTTGAGTTTTCAGTTTTCAAAGAAATGAGAAGTTTTAGAAATGGCATTATATTTTAGGATATAATATTTAAAATTAACATATATGTGAATCTCCCATATTGTATTGATGATTTCTTGTGCATTCTAGAAAAATCTGATCTTGAGCTATTGATTTATAACTTCTACACACACTTGTGATTTATACGATAGAAGATATCCATGAAGAAAATTATACAAAAAAATAAAATAAAAAACTTACGTACAAGCATGATGAAAGAGAGGTCATGGTGTTACTTAGATGTAACAGGTAAAGGATAATAGAAAAGAGAATGAGAAAATGTGCAATGTATTAATATGATAGAGAATAAAATTGCAACTTATCACTGAATTTAATGCATGCATTGCAGGGAAAATGATATAGGTGAGAATTCCCTTTGAGAGAGAAAATTCTCCGTTCAATTATTAGTTAGCTTATATATTATACTTAAAAGCATTATATATGAGAGAGAAAATTCATTTGTTCAATTATCTATATATTGTTACTAACCATATTGAAGTTGAAATCTACCTATTTGAAATGTCACATATTAAACTTATGATGTACATGATTGTAGATAACTAATTAAAAACCTGTTTGTGCAATGTGTATGACGACGTCTATAACTATGTACTGTGATACATTCTTTAATAGTAGTGATTAATGGCGTGAAATGTCAAACACACACAAAAATGAGAGAGAGTTACCGTGTAAATCTTTCCGACGAGACTACGGTAAGGTATATTTCGATTTTGGTTAAATGTGAATCTAATAATTTCAATTTCTTTTTTTTTAATATTTAATATTACTTTAATGACACGTCAAAAATTGGATTGAATATAAATAAATTTATTTATAACAATGTCTTAATATTAACGGTTAGATTTGTGTTGTTGAAAATGTTAATTTGTCTACATTCACCAAAATTTAAAATATAAAAGTTTAAATAAATAGTTAATACTAATAACTAAAAGAAATAAATTCAGTGAATTAATCAAATGAAAAAAAAATATTAGGTTTGATTGAATTCATGTCAAGTTAAAATGTAACTCAAATGTACAAAAAAATACTGGCAAGTGCCAACTGATGCACCAGAGAGAAATATTTTATCATCCACCTTATTTAATCTTATTACCTTTTAGACTTCGCTGAAATTTATGTAACTTTTCACATTTTATGATTTTTATCAACAATGTTAGTTTTAAACAATATTGATATTTTTCGATAAAACTACAAAAATTAATATAATTTATTTTTTTATTTTTTATATATTCAATATTAGTATCATATAACTAAATTGACTATATGTGAGTGCATTTTTATAATCATATAATTTTAAACATAATAATAGAAACCGTTAATAAGTTATTATATTTCGTATATTCAATGTTGATCTCAAACGAAAGATCATGAAAAATAATGAAGTTATACGTCCGGTCTTAAACTCTTAACATAGCACTAGAATTTTAGTGTTTTTAATTCGATCATACTTAGAAACCATGAAAAATCTCAGATTTAAATACGGTCATGTTCTCGTTTTGATTTGAGACACCGGACTTCCTCCAACCTAAAAAATTTGGCCATCTTTGAGCTTTTAGTCAATCAACTTCAACTTTGACCAATAATATATTTTTATAGGAAGTTAATTACTATGTACAATATAAAAGTGTTATGAAAATAATTTTGTTAAAATATTTTCCTAAAATTATAAATTTATAATTTTTCATATATTTTACTAATCAAAATCATGATCTAAACTTTACCATATTGATTTAAAAGTCAAAAATGACAAAATTTCAAGGGGAGAAGTTAATATTAATTAAGGGAGTGTTTGCAACAGCTTCTGCTTAAAAAAAGCACTTTTGAGGTGATTTGGAAAAAGTGATTAGTTGTAAAAGTTGATAGTGTTTGAGAAAAAAGTGATTTTGAAAAGTAAAAGTTGATAGTGTTTGGTAAAATAGGTGTTTTTGGTGTATAAAAGGGGGAAAAACACTTTTGACACGAAAGCCGAGAAAAGTAAAAAAATTGGTAGTGTTTTGTAAATAAGTATTTTTTAAAGACAAATTCTGACAAGTGTTTTTTTAAAAATGTTGCAAACCAGCCCCAAGTACACGAAAGTCTTTCGAGACGTATCAAGTGGAGTATGAGGTCATTCTTTACGTGTATTCATTGTAAAAAAAATACGAGTAATAAACTTTCTAGATTGCTCGTATTGTTTATTATTATTATTATTGTTTTGTTTATTTAGTATTCTTATATGGAGTATTCTTTACTTATTTTGTCGACATTGTACCCAAAAAGTCCTCCCCATAACAAGTTCACTTTTGTCGTTTGTATCATGTTTAATCGACTTATCTTATCTGTATTTTTAGTTGTATTAATGTAATAAAAACCTTAATTAGTACGGCGTACTTCTTATTATTTAATCATGATTATTTAATCATGATTATTTTACTTAGTTTTACTTTTAAGATGTTGAATTATTGAGGTAAAAGTTTAGAGTATTTTTCATGCGAGGACATAGGCGGCCCTAGAGGGGAAGCAGGGGTGGGGGCCCTAGGCCCATAAAAAAATAAACAAATTAGGCCCACTATATATGGTCTTTGTAGTAGGGTGAATGTATTGATCTTCTTTTTTATATACCTTAATTTAGTACGTAGTATTAAGCTTATATTTTGGCTCAAAAATAATATCATTCGACCCTCGAAAAAATATGAATGAAACTCTTCCTGCATGGTATTAATAGACTCATTTTTTCTACCTTAATGTAGCAATAGATTGATTTTTTCAGCCTTAATAATGTGGTGATATGCTAGTTTTTTCTTTTGCAATTTTACGTATTACTTAATTACTTATTATTAACGGCTACAAATTTAAAGCCTTACTGATTAGTTGTTGATTTTTAATTTCCATCTTGTTGAATTGTGCAATTCTGAAATCTTTATGTTTTGATCATTAATGTTTATATGATTGCTTGGTTATGTACAGGGCCGTTTTTAAGGGGGTTCAATAGGTTATCCAGAACAGGGCCCCCGAATTTATGGGGCCCCAAATTTTTAAATTTTTTTAGTATTATATAGTATGAAGTAATATTATATATTAATACTAATCAGTAAAATACAATTAGTAACGAAGGAAAATATAGATGCATGATTTTTTCGTTGGTCATTTTACTCTTTTAATTCTTTTTAATGAGTATATAATTGATATGAGTATAACTATTTAGATTGATTTCTTTTTAAAAAAATTATATCAATTTGGGGCCTCGATTTTACATTTAGAAGTTAGAACCGGGGCCTCTAAATTCATTAGACAGCCCTGGTTATGTACTAACTTTTTTACTTTTTATTACATTGTGTGCGCATTGTGTCAAATGTGCATTGAAATTGTGAATGTATTGAATTATTGATAGTGTTGTTTGGTAATGTGTGTGTACTCATGCATTTTACGTTTTTATTATTGAATTATCCCCCATTTCTATTTTACATGATCACGATATTCAGATCTAACACTCCGGAATCATTGTTGTTTCTCTCCTAAGATGATATTCGCATATGATCCTCTCTATATATTAGAGGATTTTGTGTAAATATTATTGCAATAAAATTTATGAATAAAAATATGACAAAAGTTATTATAAGTATGCATTCATAGCCACTACAATATACGTAGTATAATTGAATAAAATAGTAATCACTATTTTTTTTTAAATTACTAAAGTATAAAAAGTGGTATCTATATTTTAGCTATATTTTTAATTAATTCCACCTTTTATACGGATGGTACAATAAAATTTGGAAAAACTACCCATAAACACTTTTGGTGTAAGAGGGTTATATATGATAATAAATGTGGTGAATTAGCCCTTTATACTCCGTAGTTTAGGAGCGTGTTTGGTAGCATTGAAATCGACTGAATCCGCTTATTTTGCTTAAATTTATGAAATGCTGGTTGCATTAGCTGATTCTGCTGATTTATGAAAAAAATTAAAATATATTTTCTTAATAAAATAAACAAAAAGTTAAAAGAAAATAGCTAAAACGTAACGGTAACTTAAGCCAAAACAGGCAGAAAAATAATTTCAATCTTAATTTTTCTTATTACTCTGTATTACATAATTCAGCGCGTGAAGTCAAAAGTTACATGTTTGATGAAAATGTTGACTGATAAGCCGAAAAAAAGATATGCGCTAGATGATAAGATTGACTTACAATGATGGATTCACTTCGAAGCAAACCAATTAAATTGGAAGCAAAGAATCAATGGATGAAATAGATTGACTTACCTTATGGCATACTTCGTATATAGCAAATGAAATACACTACAATTAATACACACCAATTCAGACCAGATCATACTTTGACAGTTACTACGTGTAAAATTCACAGAAACTAAATATTTAATACTCCCTCCGTCCCAAAAAATTGTTCCCGGTTTCCTTTATGTGCCGTCCCAAAAAATTGTTCCACTTTCCCCTTTTGGAAAGTTTTATGTTGCTCACATTCATTTACTTTTTTCTTACACAACCATAACCATACATTTCCACTTTATTCTCACTTTCTTAAACTCCGATCCAAGTTAATGCAGGAACATTTTTTTGGGACAGATGGAGTAATAGTAATAATAATAAATAATAATAATAATAATAATAACAACAACAACCACAACAACAATAATAATGCTCAGTCTAATTTATTAATGAGTGTTTTACATGTCTTTTTGGCACGATAGAACCGAAAAAGCGTAAAAAAACACATCTACGTACGTACTGATTAAATTCTATAGACCATATATAACGTTGGTTGGTTGTTTCCAAAAATATTGACGAAACTCTTATCTTTTCAGCAGCTAGCAGACGAAAAACAAACCCTTATCGATCGGCTTTCAGGGCTAGAGATAGATAACCATATCATATTACGTACGGAGAAAGTGCCGGCGCGCGAATTGGCCGTCTATCAAGAGTCTGAAAGATCGTTTAATTTTCCGGCATAATAATTCCACAAGAGGTCAGTGAATATGGCGACCCCTCTCCTCTCCAAGTAGGCCTGCATTTCCTGTCTCCGCCCCTTTTCAAATAAATAAAAATTAATAATTAAGTGATGCTAATAATAATAATAATAATACTAATAATAATAATAATAATAACAACGATACTCCATAACAAAAGAATAAAGACAAAATTTCAATATATAAGAGCAAATTCGTTTTGAAATTTTAAAATAGGGATGTTTTTACTTAAACTTATTTCAATTCCAGATTAGACCAGACTAGATCAGATTTCGATAGTATAAAAGATACATAAATCAAGCATCTACCAGATCAGACCAGTTCTGACCAGAACAGACTAGACTTAACGGACAAGATCATACTAGACCAGAAATCTTCAGTCCAATTATAAACATTATTTCTAACATAGGAGTAATTACTGACAAACAAGGAAAATAATGTCATGTTTAAAGTTTGGTAATGTCAAAACATGTCATCATTTACTCATATTTAGATAATAAAAACATAGTCGTTATATTTTGGAATTTACAAACGTTATACTTTTATTTAGGGCAATTTTTTAAAGAATAATTAAAGAATTCGAGAGCTGGTTTGGATTTCACCTGCAGTGAAATCTTTCAGACGGTCTAGTGTGATATCATGTGTATTTATTACCATTTCCTTCCCATCCACTAACATTGAGACATGAAGAAATGGTATGATTATTAAGAAAAGTAAGTTTATGTGGTTGATATTGAATTAATAATATGACTACTAAATTATCATATTTTGGAATTATTAGGAATTAATATAACGGTATTAATGTCATAATAATTGATAATGTCACAATTGATAGTAGTTTTTAACTTAACAATGACTGTCCTTATTTAGGAAGAAAAAATATAGTCTCCCTTTGTCAAATTCCACATTAAGTTACGTTTAATCGCATCTAGACAAATATGGTCTACTTAATTAAGAAAATATAGTCTCCCTTTGTGATTGAAATGTCTACTTAATTCCAAATATATGTTGACATTCTGATGATTAAATATGGAGCATTTTCCCCATGGTGTGTGAATATTTGACTATGTGTAAATGTGTAATGCTTGTGCTAAAAGCAAGACTGAAATATGTCTTTAAACATAATGTTGTAAAATTTAATTTTAATAACATAAAAGGTGCTGTCTTTGTCCTGCAGAAAGGCACCACTTTTCCTTTTTTTAATTTAAATTAAATTACACATCCCAAAATAAGGTTTAATTTCTTTACATTTTAATAAAGATAATGTATGACCCGTATTATTTGTCCCCTTTATATAATCTTGATTGACTAATGAAATCCACTACCCATAGTAAATCACATTCCCTCCGTCCTGTTAAAAGGTTCTCACTTTCCTTTTTAGACGTCCCATTAGAAGGTTCTCATTTCCATTTTAAGAAACAATTAACAATCTTAAGTGACAAATTAGTCATTAAATATTAAAAATAATACATTTATAACATCACCGTTATCAATACTAACACATTATACTATATACCTATTAAAATTATTTCTCAAAATATACCCGAAATACTTTATTTAATTATCACCTAAATAATCGTGTCATTTTGCTATGAGAACCTTCTAGCGGGATGAAAGTTGTTGTATCAAAGTTAAAAGAAACCCCACAGAATATAAGACTAGTAACATAATGATTACCCTTCGCTCCTTTTAAAATATAATTTCCTCTTTTGACTAATTAGCACGTTTTTAATGCATCAGAGGTTACGTTTTCCCTTATTCCCTTGTATTACCTCCTTCCCAAAACAAAAAGATTGACCTATTTGATTTTTCTTGATTAATAGAATTAATAAAACTAATAGAAAAAATCGCAATGGCATAAATAAATAAAGTAATATTTTTATTTTTATTTGAGAAACCCCATAAAATGCATTTTTTAGGGGGACTTCATAATAAGCTAAGTCTTGTTCGGAGAGTACAATATTACTAATTAAACTCTGTGTGTGTGGTATAACAATTCAAAATAAAATAAAAGGTTTAGAAGAATGTTCCCAAAAAAAAAAATTCAGCATCTAAAATAAAATTAATTGATTAACAAATAAACCAGTTTAAAATTTAAATACGGAGTCGCATTAATACATTTAAAGAAGCTTGCTAATTAATTACCTGAATAATGATCGAAGCGACTGATAATTATATTATTAGTCGTTAACGTCAACTCTAAGGCAGCCAATCCGCTTAGCCACTAGGTCCCACAGCCGGGACCTAACTCCCCGCCGCTTCGGCCGATCGCCGCCGTTCGCAACCACTCCCTCATCAGCGACGGTCGCCGGCAAGACCTTCTTCGGGGAGAGACGGCGGCGCTGCCTCTCCTTGATGGCAACAAGATCCATCTCCGGCTTAAACCTCACCGGCCCGAACATAAACATCCGCCGCCTCGACGCCGACGACATGGACGTCAGAGAGCTAATGTTGACCTTCCGTGACACGGAAGCGACCCGCTCCGAACCCGAACCCGACCCGGATTCTCTTTTGCCGCTGAAAGAGTGTGACCGGAAGTAGTCCCATCTCTGGGTCCCGTTTATCTCGACGGCTGAGTCGCTCATGCGGTGTTTCTCGAGGGGGACATCGGAGAAGAAGTAGAAGAGCTCCTGCGGCGGCGGAGACGGCGGGTCATTGTTGACGGATTCTTGATTGCGGTCATTTTCAACTTCAAGGTATCTGAAGGAAAGAGGAGAGAGAGGAGAGTCGTCGTCGCTATGTCTTTCCAAATCCATCATTCGGGTTCGTTTGGTGAAAGAATATAGATGTTCTGTTGTTTATATACTTCGTATATACGACACTAGTCAACGTATGTCTTCCATCGTACAATTCTCATAAGAAAACTGAAAAACAAAAAACAGGAAACGTGTTTACCAAAGAAATTTTTGGAAAATTAGATAAAGGAAAAAAGAAAAACGCGTTTACCAAATCGTTTTCCAAAACGGAAAAAATGAGACATGTCTCTCTTTTCCTTAATGATTTGGAGAAGTGACTTTTACTAGTTTTCCAAATTTGGAAAACGTAGATGCTACAGTGCCGCTACAATGAATTTGCATAATTACACTTAGTGGTGGGTCCGGTCCCACTCCGATGTCGATTCCATTCCGGTACCTCCATCCTCGTACCTTACCCCATACCCCTACCCTACCCTACCTTACCCACTCAACCCCACCCCGCATACCCATTTTTCCCTATAATGACCCTACCCCACCCCGGCCCCAACCCGATCCACCCTACCCTACCGCCACCCCCCTACCACCTCGACCCCACCCCGACCCACCCTACCCTACCCCCACCCGTATATTACCCCTTACCCCTTACCACATGCCCCTATCTCGGCCCCACCCCACCACCATCCTACCCCCACCCGTATATTACCCCTTACCCCTTACCATATGCCCCTACCAAGGGCCCACCCCACCGCCATCCTACCCCCACCCTTCCGTCATCCGACCACCATCCTACCCTTCCCCTACCTCGGCCCCACCCAGATCCTGGGTCCACCCTATCGTCATCCTATCCCACTACCCCTACCTTGCCCCAACCCTACCCACTACCCCCACTCTTACCGCCATCCTACCCCCCACCCCTACCCCTTCCCTACCTCAGCCCCACCCTGGTCCCGGCCCCACCCTACCGCCATCCTATCCCAACTCCATACCCTACCTCTACCTTACCCCAAACCCTACCCCACCCTTACCCCTAACCACGACCCTAACCCACCAACTACCCCCACCCAACCCCCTACCCTAGACCTTACCACCCCACCCCGACCATACCCCTTACCCCACCCCCACCCATAACTTCCCTACCCCGACCCCTACGAGTAGGTATGGGTGGGTATGAAGGGTTGTGAGGGAGTATGGGTAGAGTGTAAGATCGTGGTAAGGGTAGGGGTCAAGGGTGTGGAATTGGAGAACTGAGTGAAAAAATTGATGAACATGTTTTCAGATTTGAAAAGGTAAAACTAAAAAATAGAAACAGAAAATGGGAGATAGAAAAACTGAAAAATAAAAACAGAAAATTGGAGAACGAAAAACAGAAGTAGAAAACAGGAAAATATCTCTGTTAGTAAACAGGCCCTTAGATTCTCATAACAAATAAATTCTCTCTCTTCTTATTTGAATGATTTTATACAATTTTGGTATGTTTTTCCATACAATGTCAATGACAATGTCAACATCTAGACGGTATCCTTGACATTGTGGAGAAAAACTTACCAAAACTGTATAAAATCATTCAAATAATGAGAGAAAGAATTTATTTACCAATATTTATGTGGTCATCTCTCATGCCACATGTGCACCGTGCACATTCTACCATTGGAGATGCTCTTAGATTAAATGGAAATGACAAATCTTTATGGGACATCCAAAAAAGGAAATTTGGCAAACCTTTTCGGAATGGAGGGAGTACGGAGTAATATTGTTCTTACAACTGATTTATTAATTATTAACTTTTTAATTTGTAGGAGTGTTCGGAATTGATTCTTTTTTATATAGTAGATGTTGAATAATAATAATAATTAGTTTTTCATAAAGTGTTATCTCTTATGCTTTAAGACCAATTTGAAGCACTTAAATATGTTTTACATTTACACTCAAACACTTCAATATATGCTTTTGTTATCTAATAGAGGAGAAATAGTGATGGATAATATGGGTATCAAAACATACAATTAAGGAGAGTTTATTCAAGTGACAAGGAGAAGAAGTGTACTACTTCTGTGTGTGTATTAATTATGAATTGTGTCCTAGGGTTACAAGCTAAGCCCCTTAAGGAAGTATATATAGTGAAATATGAGATCGAATGGATCAGCGGCATGGAAATCCGAGCGGGGTGCCTCGACAATGACAACAATGTACTCCATTGAGACAACCTTGTGTGAGAATCCTCAGTCGAAGGTCGCATGTCAGAGACCAACACATCAGGTCTTAAAGCCGAAGGGTTATGTGTGTGTACTTCATGGCTGTTATGGCAACTAAATCTGTATATGATGTGGTGGTGCGATCGATGCATGTGGAAACCTCTCTAAAAATTTGAATTTATACTTCTTCAATTAATGGAGGCACTGAGTCCCCCATTCTTTCAGTCTCTCACTCATTGAGGTGGGTGTAGTGAGGTGAAGAGGAGTAGAGTTGTGCATGTCTCGTGATGACTCATGTACTGTAGGGGTCGAGGGTTGACACCTTTTATCCATAGTGAAAAGATGCCTTGTTAAAAACCTCATTAGGAAAAACCCCGTGAGAAAAAATAATCCTAATGATGAAAAAGGTGAGCCCTTCGGTTGAGGCGTGGAGCTATAACAAACGCCATCTGCCGAGGGGATGGTCAAGACCGGTCTTCGTATATGAGTAGCTTGACATGATATGTAGTCCTAGTCGTCAAATAAAGATGGTCAGGAGATAGGTCGAGCAACCATCTAAAATATGATGCATGTCTGAGTCATCAAATAAAGATGATAGAGATATGTGGCTGAGAGACTTATATGAACTCCAAGTTGTCAAATAAAGAGGATCAAAAAGTATGGCCGAGAGGTTTATGTAAAACCCACATCATCAAATAAAGATGACTAGGAGGTATGGCCAAGTGGCCGATATGAACTTCGCGTCATCAAATAAAGATGACTAGGAGGTATGGCCAAGGGGCTGATATGAACTCTACGACATCAAATAAAGATGACTAAGATATATGCCCGAGAGGCCTGTATGAACTTTGCATCATCAAATAAAGATGACTAAGAAGTATGGCAGAGGGGTCGATATGAAATATGGGTTCCTTTAACTTTTCAGCTAGAGACAACAAGATATCTGTAACGGTTCGCCGTTTGCAGGAGTATTGGCTAATACCGATTTTGCTAAAGATAATGGTCGCCACCCTATGGAAACAGTGGGCGAGCCCGATAATAAGATCGTGATGTTGGCTCTCAGAGCTGGCTGTGACATGAAGATTAGATCATGAAGGGCCCATCTGGCTGTGACATGAAGATTAGATAATGAAGGGCCCATCATAAAATGAAGACACCGACACTAAAGAGTGGAGTGGTGAACCCAATTGCTGGTTCAATACATTCGGCGCTGAGGAGCCGATCTTCAGGTAGAAAATCATGTTGTAGCCGAGAGGTCGGTCATAATGTGAGGGCGGCGGCGCTGAGGAGCCGGTTCAAAATATGATGACGAGCTGATGATGAGTCGTTTGTCATATGAAGGCGACGGTCGCCATCCAACAAGGGAATGACAAGCTCAATCACTGGATCAAGACATTTGGCACTAGGGAGTCAGTCTTGAGATAGAAAATCAAACGTTATTTGAGGGACCGGTCGTGGTACGAGGACGGCGGCGCTGAGGAATCAGTCCAAAATATGATGAGAATGCGATAATGAGCCAGTCGTCATATATGGTGACAGTCACCATCAATGAAGAGAATGGTGAGCCCAGTCACTAGATCAAGACTTTGGTGTTGAGAAGTCGATCTTGAGATAGATAATCAAGCCATAGTCGAGGGGCGATCGTGATGCAAGGACGGCGGTACTGAGGAACCGGTCCAAAATATGGTGATGAGGCAATAATGAGTTGTTCGTCATATAAAGGCGACGGTCGCCATCCAGGAAGTAAATCAAGTCATAGTCGAGAGGCCTGTCGTGATATGAGGATGGAGTATTCAAGGGAAAATTGCGTATCCATGATGTATTGACTTTACAGAAGCATTGTGGTTATGCCATGGCAGAAAACATAGTTGGTTTGATAATCATAGAAAGTTTCTACTAGATGATCATCTATTTCGGTTAGATAATGACAACTTTACTTAAGAAAAATCAATCTTTTATGGTCCTCTGTTACACAAAGATGGTTTATCTTGCTATGATGATGTTGGTGCCTTGATGCCCGTGATCGAACACACGGTAGTGGGCACAATAAAATAGATGGAAAAAATATCGGATGGAAGAAACGTAGTATATTCAGGGATCGCCCGTGTTGGAAGGATTTACGCATATGACATAATTTTGATGTAATGCACATAAAGAAGAATTTCTTCGAGAATATGTTTTATACAATTTTGGCACCTATCATTTTACTTATTTTTCCTACTTCCTATAAGTTTATAGGTTTATAGCAAGAACAAAGGAACAATATTTTAACATGAATTCGTACGAATGGATCCTAATTTAAGAAGGAATGCTTCAAGACAAGTTGATTCCTTCTATAAGTTTTAATCACCTAAAGAGTTGTTATCTTTTGGCACCTTTACAAGGTTAGCAAACAAGATGACATTTCTGGGTGTGCCTGACATGCTCTAATCAGTGTAACTTACTAGATGTGTTAGCATTACTTTTGTTTGGTATTAAGCACAACTAATTATCTTAATACAAAATTTTATGGTTATTCAATATTCCTTTTTTCATATGGTTTCAGTTGTTGCATTGAATGCAATACCTCGGGGGAAGTACTAGGAAAATTGTTGATATATGGATTAAGTATAGCTACGGTTAAAGGTGGTTGTCGGAATAAGAAACTAGAGCATTTAATCCAAGAGGCATCAGACAATTCTAGCTGTTCAATGACATCTTTGCCTACTTCTTTATTTGAGAGGAACTCGACTCGTTTCCCAACACCATTACTTTACCACTCAACATCATCTAACATACTTGGCAACAACACTACCAACCAGATGGTGCAAATAAGGCAGCCTGCCCAACCACCTCCGTCACAATATAGTCTACCTTAGGTTCCTAGTCCAAATATCATATCACTAAA